CACACACACACACAAATACACACTCAGGCCTAGCTGCAGTTAACCCCTTCAGCCCAGACCCTGAGACCTTGGTCTGCAACGATGGGAGGAAATCAACTGCAGAAAACCACCAGAATGCAGAAATTAGTGTTCCAGAATCCTGAATCGGCTCAACCGTTTGTCTAGAGCGGTGCTCCTGAACCTTGGCCACTTGAAGATGTGTGGACTTCAACTCCCAGAATCCTAACTAGGGAATTCTGGGAGTTGAAGTCCACACATCTTCAAGTGGCCAAGGTTCAGGAGCACCGCTCTAGAGCATCACCCAGTGATGAGATGTCCACAAATCAAACCTCCGTCTGCTTATGTATCCCTGCAAGATGCCCTCAGAGAAGCTGATGACCAAAGCTGATGATGGTTGTGTTCTCAGAGTGACCTGGAACGGAGCTTAAAGATGAATCTTCATCGTTTTATTTAACATTTGGATTCCTCCAATGGCAGAGGCTGTGCAAAACCGTCCTGAACAATAGCTGTGGAGGGCCTGATCCATTGTTGAGTGGTCTATACCTACACTAGGCGTAGATGAAGTGTCTCATTCTAGATGAAATGAGGGCCATCTTGAACAAAGCGAGCTTTGCTCTTTTTCCAAACTGGACATAATTCTATACACCTCCCTTTTTTTTCTGCGACAAAACCCTACAATAGCATCACATTTCTTCCCACGGGGAGTTCTCCAACTCCGATGATCTGGGTGATGTTGCTGGTATTCTTTTCAGCCGTATTAATCCAAGTGTTGCCAATCTGGTTCTGTCCTCCCAAGATTGATTGATTTAGGACGTTTATTGATGAATTGTATAGGCCGCCCTAAGTTACGACTCTGAGCAGCTTACCACGCAGGGCAGTCAACATGCTATAAAAGCATCAGTAGTTGTCCTTGTTTCTCTTCTTCCAAATCTCTAAACCAGGATTCACCTTGGTGACAGCAAGAAACTTGATCAGGTATTCATCCAGTTCACCCATCATTCTGAGATCTTCCTGAACCCCTGGACAATATTTTGCACTCTGTTTACACCGAACCGCTGTCAAAAGCAGTGTTTCTCAACCTTGAAATCCACACATCTGAAAGTCGCCAAGGTTGAGAAACACTGGTCAAAAGAGTAAATCCAAGATTTTGTTTACTCCTCTGTTGCACCAATGGCTTATTCCTCTGCAACCCTGTCATTTGAGATTGCTAGGCTTCGTTTTGTTTTCTCCGCCGGCCTGGAGATGTGTGCAATAAGCTATTTGTTGTGGAATTGCCCAGCCTCCATAGTTTTCATGGTTTTTTCCAACTCGACGCTGCATTTTCCCCACGTTTACTTCATTCTTTTCATAGCGCAGAAAGGTGGTCAGCTGGGATGGGGGAGAGGGAATGAAAGAGCAACGGTGGGCCTTTGGACCGGAAGGGACAGAAAGCCACACATTTGTTGAATCCCGCAGTGCATTTGAAATTTGGAGAGGTGCTTGTGGGGGCTCTCACAAAATGGCCCAGGATGGCTATAGCCGTGTCTCCAGGCAGGAACCTGCATTTATCAGAAATCAAAGTAGTACCAAATAGACCTTTTTACTTATCCACTTAGCATCTTTTTCCTGGCCAGGTGAGCACCAAGGATGTTCAAAATCTGCAATTCGAAGTGTAGATTTCAAGGCAGCACTGGAAATTTCCTTTCTCTTCCCCACCGTCCCGTCCAGCCATGCCGGGGGTGTTCCAGGCCGCTCCTGGAAATAAATCTTCCAGAAACAAAAGTGGTTTTGTTCTGCGTTCTCTGGAATGGACGCTCTAACCAGGTCCTTTCCAAACCAAACTTAGCC